TAATATATATATATATATATATATATATATATATATATATATATATATATATATATATATATATATATATGTGTGTGTGTGTGTGTTAGGAACATCCTAAATTTTTTTTGGCTCCACCCTGAATGTCAAAAAGAATTTTTTTTTTTAGTTTAAAGAATAGAAATGATGATTAATTAAACAAACAACGACTAATAATCCTGCCGTTAATTTTCTTGTAAGAAATTAGTTTATACAAATAATGTTTAAAATGATTTCTTCAATTGACAAAAGTAAGGAAAAACTTATATTTTTTTTAGTAATTTTATACCTATTTGACAATGACAACAGTCCCTTTTATTTATATAAGACTTTTAAATTACCCCATTTATTTTACAAGGCTTCATTTATACTATTATTTATAAATTATATCAACTTAACTCATTATAAACATATTGCATAAATTTGTTGATTGTGAGTGAGATGCAAAGATACAAGTTGGTGTGATTTATTTTAAATGGAAAAACATTCGAACCACACTTAATTGGTTTGGCAGGTCGGTTATACTTTTGGATTTTGGTTTAGTTTTAACGTTACAAAATTGTTGGAAACTATGATTTCATTTTAAAATAATTTTATTTTTAACTAATACCATCTAATTTCAATTTTAACCCAAATATCAATGTACTTATAAATGGGAATTGGTATATAAGGATTCATGCATGTATTATTTGGAATATCACATGTTCCCAAAGAAAATTAATCGTTGTAAAGATTTCATCCAAATTAATATCACCTTTCACCATAAAGAATTGAAGTGTCATTATAAAATTAGTTGCCAAAACATGTATTTTGAAATATGGTATGTTATGGAATCAAACAAGTTTTAATAAAAAAACACCTATTATATACCTATACTAAAGAAAATTATTTGTGCAAAAGAACTAATCGTCACTAGAAAATAATTTCTAAAAGAAATTATTTGCACTTGTTGTTTGGCATGGATAAACGGTTATTACTAAACAAAGCATTTAGTTCATTTAAAAAAGGCTCTGATAACAACTAAATACCCCTAGATGGATTAAATTCATTAGTTTATATTTTGAAAACATTTAATATTTTAAAAGTAAAAGAGTAATTGTTGCAGAAACTAGATCCAAAAATTCAAGTGTAACAACACAACTTGAATGTTTGAATGTATACGAAGGTGTATAATTATACCAAAACATGACTTGAGGAATAACCACTTCATAAAACGTGGCCTACAAAAACCAAGATATCTTGAGTATCTAAATATTGTATTTTCTATTGAGTATACTAGGTTAAAACCCGTGGAACCCACGGGTGCTGTTTTTGAATTGAATTTAAAAATTAATTATTTAATAAAATATTATATCAATAATTCTGATAACTTATAAATTGTAATATTGAATATTTAAATAATTTTTTTTATTGGTAATTATTTAATTACTAACTAAATGGGAAGTATTTAATTAGGAATGAAGATTTTTGAAAACTATTTTTTTTTATTCATCATTCTAATTGGACATATGCAGATGATACAATACCAATGTGTGTAATGAAATTAACATAAAATACAACAATACGTAATTATAAAAAAATACAGTAATATGATGGATTAAGTGTGATTTCCTAAAATTGAATAAAACGACGTTACAAAAAAGTTGGCTACAAATTTCGAAAAACTTCCTTATAAACAACATTGGAAGTTTTATTTGTGAGTTTGCCATCTTTATCTAAAATTAATAATTTTAATCCCTCTCTACTCTGAACTCTAGATAAGGCAACATACAATTGTCCATGTGAAAAAACTGGATCTTTCAGAAACAGACCAACCTTTGACAACGATTGTCCTTGACTTTTGTTAATAGTCATTGCAAAACATACAGCCAAAGGAAACTGTCTTCTTGTGAATTTGAAGGGAATCTTTTTTTCTGATGGAGTTAAAGACATTCTTGGAATAAAAGTCCGATTTCCAATATTAGTTCCAGTTATTATACGTGCCTCAATAACACGTTTGCCCAATGATAACACCTGTAGTCTTGTGCCATTACATAAGCCGTTTTTCTGATCAATATTTCTCAGTAACATTACTGGAACACCAATTTTTAAAACTAATTTATGATTTGGTAAACCGGATACTTTGAGTCCATTTAATACATCAGGAGAGTATAGATTTGCATCAAATTGATCATGGAGAAATTCGGATTCACATATGCAGTCTGAACTTAAATATTCAACTTGATCTCCTGGAAACTTCTTAAGTAAACGGTCGTTTATTTCCTGGACAACTTCATTTTTTGGAGCAAGTATCGCTCTTTCTTGGAAATAATTTATATCGCTATAGTACTCTAAAATTGAAGGATATACAAACTCAATTAAGGAACCTATAGGATCATGTGAATCATTAATGAGAATATCATCCGGAATATCGATAATCGTTTCACCGTCGTTCGGACCACCAAGTTTTCCTTCTCCTATATCCAACAACCAATTTGCAAAATCTCTTATTTTTCCTATATCTGATTGATCCCTTCCAACAGTTAGCCTCATGTTTTTTGTTAATCTATGGACTTTGCAATGTTCCCATAAATATGAAGAACTCAAAGAAGCATTTACAATGTTCTGTCTACTGCCACCCGGCACAACAGGTAGAATTTGTCTAAAATCTCCTCCAAAGACAATAACTTTCCCTCCAAATGGAATATTTGAGATGGTTGAATTTACGCACCTTAATAAATCCTTCAAAGTTCGATCTAAAGCTTCAAATGCATGCTTATGGACCATAGGTGCTTCATCCCAAATTATCAAAGAGGTTTTCCTTATTAAGCTTGCCAACTCACCGTCTGGATTTATGTTACAAAAAGAATCCTCTGTAAGCTCAAATGGAATTATAAATCGAGAGTGTGCTGTTCTACCACCGGGCAATAATAAGGAAGCAATACCACTTGAAGCAACATTTAATACAATATTTCCTTCAGATCTAATTGCTGCAGATATTGTTTTCCATAAAAAAGTTTTACCCGTTCCACCATACCCGTAAACAAAGAAGACACCTCCTTTATTTTGTTGAATAGCACTCTTGATGTTTAGGAAAATGTTCCGTTGCTCATTTGTTAATGCAAGAAACATACGATCATAGTCATTCTTTATCACGGGAATGTCGTAATCTAGTTCCTCGGTGATAAGTCGATTGTTTGAAGAAGAAACGGATTCAACATCTGGGTATGGCATGTTTTTGAAGTTTTTGAGAGTAGAGTTGTTTCGAAGTAAAATTTGTTGTATTTCGAACAAAGTTAAGTTCTTAAGTTCATCTACTCCGAGAGACAATTCTGCACGAAAATATTAAATAATTAATAAAATACGTGGTTGATATTTAATAATTTCATTACTAATTATTTAATGGGTGTTGAAA